TGTAACTAGTGCCCGGTAGACATAAAAATAAATAAATACATAATTTCCATACACCTATCAGTTCATAACTACAGCTAACTTTCGAGCTTTGGCTCGTCCCACATGGATCAAATCACTGATAATCGAGATACCAAGCATGGGAGTTTCTAGGTCTTCTAAAATCCCGTTAGTGTGAGTGTATCATATGCAGTTAAATTGCTTTGAGCGTCCTTGGCTAGTTTCTGAGCGATACACAAGCAGCTCCCAGTGTTGTAAAGGTAAGAGCTTACGGAGGTTGATTGGCAGAAGGTCTACGGATGATTATCAATGAATCAATGTGAACTGCTGATATATTTGATATTCAGAACTATGAGGATTTAGGAGGTAGAAAGCGCTAATTATATACACATCTGAGGTAGCCAGACTCTCGCCTTATTTACCCAAAACAGTACCACGGAATATTCTAGTCTCCTCCATCTAGCAGTACAATCTAGAAACACTTTCTATGCAGTGCTCCATTGTTCCTCTACTCATCATGGAGCCACCCGGAAAGTTCTTCCTTCACCCTCAGTGATCATTACCCTTGTGCATCGTAATCCTAGCCATCACCAGCACAACACCCAGGCGTGAGTGCTTTCGGGCTTTTTGAATGCATACAAGGCGAGACTTTGCCTTAATTTCCGAGGGACCTAGACTCTATCCTCGAGCTCACCTATTGCCATGGCCAACGTGGGAGGGAACGAAGCAATAGCTTAGAAATGGAGTTGAGTCATTCCAAGTGGCAATCATTTGTATTTGGCAGTTGGAACACGCACTCAGATCAAGGCGTATATCAACAACAAAAGCGCTCTGACCCATGTTTCTCCGGTAAAAGCAAGCGGTATAAAGGTCCTCACCACCATGAACCTCTTTTTAGATCCGTAGTAAATCTTTTCATCTGACAGTTTATGATGACGATCATTCATGCCTCAACACAAGGTTTTGTTGAATCATTTAATGTGTATGCAGCTATAGAGCTATGACACATGACCGGTGCTATGTATATATGTTGGATGACTCTTTTGACCTTAGAGACACTCATACTCTGGATTTCATTTGCAAATACCACTATAGGGTATGCTTGCTTACACAAACAGTCGACTCTCCTCCGTAAGTACCCACCAAAGGGAATTTCGAAACCATTGGTTATCCAAGCATGCCTTCGTCATCCATGCATATTAGCGCCGCGAGAAATGTGGTTGTGTTTTGCCGGATTTGAACCAGCGATGTACTGTCTCAAGTGGGATATGTATCCAAGCTAACTAGACTCTACTTGGCAGACCGGCCAAGACGATGTACCACCGCACCATCCAGCCATGGCGGTGTTTATAGTGTCGCCTGCACTCTTGCAGCCGAAGCCTTGGCACGCACAAAGCTCAATAAGTAACATCTCCTTGCCAAAATTGAAAATTCCACGCCCGTCGAGTGTGTATGTGTACTTATTTGCACTACTTGAGTCTATGACTATCTAGCACATTGGGCTCCTCTCTGACCCAGGTCACACCTTGTACAGTGCTCCTATCCTCTTTTGTTACTTGAAAGATCATTGATATATTCCCCTTGATGAATAGCCACTCAGCTCAGTGTTTACCCATGGAATTCGGTCACCTTTTTCACGGAACCTTCCACCCCCCAAAATGAAAATAGTAGCAATGAAAACTTCGTGCGCGGGAAAAAGTCTCAAAAAACCTGCAGCCCCAGCCAGGCGAGGCCTAGACACAGGGTCCACATGAGGTGCGCATGTTGATCAATATCTTCCTTCTTTGTAACATTCGAGGCCGACTTGATCCAACCCGCCATCTCCGTATCGGGTGCTGGGTACGCTCCGGAAACTCATCGGATGGCTTTTCCTCCATGATCAAGGTTTGGTGATGAGCAGGGCTCCGACCCTACCATCTGATCTGATCGTGGTTAGCTCTATGATAATAATGATAGTGGAATGTGTTGAGAGATGAAGACCATAGAGACCGTGAAAGCAATTGGGAATCCTGATCAAAGTGAGGACCTTATTACTCAATCTCGGCTCTGCAGACTCTACAGTGAGAGCTGGAGGTTCGTAGGAGACACCACTGACAGGTGTTGAGAATAGTCCCCCGTTAAGACGATGTAATCGGGGCAGTGAAATATATCGTCAAATAGAGGATATCGCTGAAAAGGATATGATTATCTAATCCAGCTATCTAGGCTACTTTGTACTTTTGGTGCCTCCTTTATACTCCCAATTGCCGTCTCTAATCGCTCTATGTTGTATTATCCATGTAACTTACCATGGTTCATGCTTTAGGTCACGTCATAGTAGATGCACGTAACTTTGGAACTAAACCGTGGGGTGTTTAGTGTGTAATGCATGTGTGGGTATTATGGGCCAAACTAGAACTCGATAGAATAGAGATAATGGAATCAGCGAGAGACTGATGGACTGAAGGAGAACGAGCTGGTCATTTCTCGAAGGAGAGAAATGATATCACAAGAGAATGTTCTAGTACTAGGCTGTAAACAACACAGTAATTCTGGAGCAAGATATAAGGAGGTCTCAACCTCCGTCCATTTATTGTAACTAAGTTTCCTTTATACGAGAATATAGAGTCAAGTCTTACATATCACGAGAACACACCTGACAGCGATTATAGAGACCTACTGTGAACATAACTTCCCCAAGATTATCCATCGTCCTGCTCCCATATAGCCTAGTTAATATAACACTCTAACACTCTCAAATAGCTCGAATTAAGAGAATCTTGACTCTCAGTATACTTAATCAACACTTTCAGAGCCATTTCGACCTCTTTTTCTGTCCACAAAGGCTGTTCGTCTTGTACTACCTCTTCTTCTTCGTCTTGATTTGCTCCCAAATATTCCCCTTATCACCTCTTGTAAGATCATTGCCTCGTCAAGCATCAAATTCCCTTCCTCTTCCTTCTCAATTGGATTAAGAAAATTGTCTATTGCCATTGAACCTCGTATGTTTCGTGCTCTGACTACCTCATTAAACAATTCAGAAAGTCCAGTCAGAAGTACAGACGTAGGAAGAGCGATTGGCTTGGAAATAAGCGTCGATTTTCGAAAGCAATTCTGAATCGTTGTATTGGTAACTTCGTTATTCCAACTTCGTAAGATGCAGCGAATTACTGGTCGAATATTGACACTTGATTGTGCATCTGTACCCTTTTTAGTTGCTTGTAGTACAAAGCGGAGCCACTACCGTCTGTAGAATACTTTACAGTTCTGAATAATACCTTGATCAAGAGGTTGGTACCAGCTTGTACTATTAGCTGGAAGCCAACAGATCTTGATGTTTGACGGAGGAGGGTATAATTCTGTTGGAAATGGAGACACGGAGTATTGTGGACGTATGGGCCCTCCATTTCGTCTAGGTTCCCGACACGATCTCGTGTGAATTTAAGAGGTTGAAGTAGGTAATATGGTAGCGCTTTAGGCTACCTATTGGACATGTGAGCGGCTGTATGGCGTGGGCGCAAGGAGGTTATTGGGGGTTTTCTATGCCTAGATGGCGCCATACTCGTTTATGCTGTGGCTTAGGCTATGTGTCGCTTACACTTGTACTTGTAGCGCACCCTTCCCACACTTTTAGCTGTAATCCGAACATGACACTCTTTTAGTCAACTTCTACTTTCGTTCCATGAATATTGCGCCCATTACATTGCGCGATATCTCCAACGAATTCAACGGCAGGATAATGGGCAGAAAAATTATTCATAGTCAATAGTACATCTCGGGCATTTCCAATGTGGTGATAGAATTCTTGAAGCCATTTGCCCATAATTGCTGTGTTCATCCATGCTTTGGAATTCCGCTTCCACTTGACACCCATTGTTTGAATACTGACGTTTTTCAAGGCCCAAGGCGTCTTATATTTGCCAATAATTAAATAAGAAGTCGGTCAGAACTTGTAGCATTTATACAGAAACAGAGAGAAACTCGGTCCTTTTTTTTCTTGAGCCCGGGTTGAGATTGTGATAATAGCCCATGTCAGGGTAGCATCTTCAAAAATAGACCTGACTCGTCCATATTATATATATTTTCTTCCTCAAACTCTGCTGCGATTGTCTGTAAAGCTTTCATCTCAGCTTCTGCAGCCGCTGAAATTGAACCAGCTTCACCGTGTCCTACCCGATTCTTGAAAATCTCAAGCCAGCGAGGGCTGAATTCAGGGCACGGTTGGCTAGCGTGCTGTGGTAGTTGTGTCCAGATCTGCTTTGCCTTCTCACGGAGCAAATCGCCAGTTGTGATCCCTCCTCATTGTCAACTCGTATTTGCCACTTCAGGAGTTACTCTCAAGGTCAGGTAAGTTTCTAGTTCGCTGTTGTAGTGCAGTAGTACGTGTAGCTTCGTTGAGTTTCGCAAAGGTCATGTTCAAGAACTTGGAGACTATGGACTGGCTTAATCGATGGCCGTGTTCAGCGAAGAACCACTCAATGCACTGTTTTTGTGTCGGTTTTGGGACCTGGTGGTGCCCCCATCGTCGCAGAGCACGCCGTTGCTCTACAGAAACTCCCTTTTTGGCGGCATTATTTGCACCAATCTAACAAAAAAAACCTGGTTAAGACGATATCCAGAGTTTAAAGAACGATAATCGAGTAATCATTAAATGTATGGGAACGAAGTCCGTAGTGGAAAATATATCGTATATACGACATGATCGTCTTAACAGGGATCTGAGTGTACCAGCTAAATTTTCATGTTCAAATTGGATAGTTTCTAACTTTGCTCTCATAGACAGTGAGGAACAAGCCCTTTTATTTATACATCAACGTATGTATATACCCTTCTTTTTTTGGTCGATAAGACTGGTGGTCTACGACCGTCCTTTGCTTCACTGTCGGCGATACTATATGCACGATAGAAAGCTATGTAGACTTGTCGTTTTTCCTCTCCCTTCTAAACTACTGCCTCGTGCTCTATTTGTACCTAATACTCATTCATGTTCGGTACCCTTCATATGCTGACGCTCGATTCTCAGTTTATTTCGCGCTTTGCCACTGGCTACCACTATATTTGTTCTCGTGCATCTCTCTCTCTACCGTATCCCGCTCATGCTTACTCCTGGTGTCGTTAGTTGATGCCCAGAATTTATGCGTCAGCGTGGCGCTAGGCGCGCGCTGACGATCCATGATTACGGCGCCTGGAATCTCAACCTATCGCACTCCTACTGTAGCTTAAGCATGAGTGGGGTTGGGCCGGATCAGGTTAGCCACCGCGAAGTACGTATAAACCTCGTCCTACCTACGTGACCCGACTACCTCAGACTTCACCTCTGTGTTGAATCATACTAGGCCTGACCGTCCAGAAACCAGTTGTATAAAGGCCGTAACGCAAATTCCTCCTCAGCCTCGGCCACCACTCGCTCGAGACCTTGACTTCCGCATTGATTCAGAAATATAAATGCCGTCCAAGAGATCATCGTCGCTCAAGCCTTGCACCTTAATATCGTACCGTAGGGTTGTTGTTGTCGTCGTGGGAGATTTGTGTAATCCCCTCGGTGTATATTCCCTTTTCTTCCTCATTCGTTCACGTCCCGTTTCGATCGTGACTTTCCTCATTAGGGCATGTGTAGGTAGGTGAAGTGACGAGAATAGAGGTGGGTCTCTGGTATAGGATCGACTGAGCATTGCTCCGTCACAAATAAATGAGGAGTTTGGGAGATGTCGGATGTTTGAAAACGACCCCCAGACAGACCTATGTGCATTTGTGAATCGTATGTTGGTGGTGATGAGTTTTTGTGATTTTCTTGCGGTTGTGAAATCTCTGCCAGCTCATTTTTTGACTGAAATATCGAGTACAACTCCTTCAAGCCGAAAATCCATCAAAAAAGCTGTATCCCACTCTTTTTCGTGACTGAATCTCGGCTCTGGGAGAATATTTCACTCCCAGGTTTGTAGAGGACACCACTGACAGATGTTCAGCCTTCGTTCTCCATAGGGTAATAATTGTGGGTGAGTGAGTAAATGATATTGTCCTAATGAGTCTATGACTATGTAAGGACATGTAGGTCTTTTCTGCCTACAGGCTGGGAGTATCTATGACTCGGGTAGTATACTCCCTCCTATGCCTCCTTCACGACTTCTTTCCAGCAGTAATACCCCCACAGGTCTTCATTCGAGTACACACAAAGAGGAGCTGTTATCACGTCATTACCTCCCTTCTCTAGTCAACAAAACGATGGCCATTTGCCGGTATGTAGCTGCAGGGAAAAGTCTCAAAAACCAGTGGGTGTGGAGCTCTCTTATGACGAAGAGGCCAGGCACAGCACACTTGTGTATACCTAAGAGCGTCACTCAATCTTCCTAGCCTCCTCGTTATTCCTCCCCTGATTCTTACCGTAGGATAAATCGAAGGTCGTGAAAGGATGTCAGAAAATCTTGGTCGAAAGTGACTATCGTGAAGGAGCCTATTTTAGCATCCAAAAGTCGTTGCGGAAGTGGGGTCGTTGACTAACTTATATATTTCAGACGCCCTCCTGGCTAGTATGTTCGGAAGTATAGATTAGTAGGGACAATATTATAGACGAGTCAAAATCTACTTTTCTTGAGGGCAGAAGGGTCTTTTTTTTTTTTGCTTTCGCGGGCTTTTTGTTCGCCTGCCGGTGGGTAGCACATGTTGTGATATAACGAGGGCTTTTCTGACTATCGTTGAAGCGGTTGGTTACGCATTTTATTTCCCCATTCTCAACACCATTATCGTTGTCTTAGTCGTCTTGCGTGTTATTGGAAGCAGATATTTGACGGAAGGGTAGATAGCTCAGCTCAAAGTTGAGAAGGTGTTACTCAATCTTGGCTCTACAGACTCTACGGTGAGAGCGTGAGGATCGTAGGGAACACCACTGACGGTTGTTGAGTTTCGTCCTCCGGGTAATAGTTATATTTGGTAGTGTAACTATGACCCAATGTTATCTCATTTCTTTCCATTCATTGGCAAGTCACCGGGCTCATACCATATCTATGTGGACAAGCGACTTGCGCATTGCTCTAACAGAGGATGATCTGTCCTACATAGTTGTAAACTCAAATAGGACATAAATGGATTTAAAAAAAAAAGAGGATGCCTAGGCTACGCCATTCACAACTTGGATGGAATGAAGGCAGTTTTTAAGCGTTTATGCGTAGGGAATGCGGACTACAGTCTAGTCACCACACTGCACCTTATCATTGCCCTGCAATGATTAGACTCGGCGCTCATGAGTCTGAGGCTCAGGAGCTACAGTAGCTGTATCCATGGTCGGCACACGAAGTGCATATGTACCTTTCGGCGCCGAGCCAGTCATTGGCTGAAGATACCACAATATATTAGATTTATTTTATAGTCCTAAGTCTAAGACTATAGAGGATTTCTAGAATCTATTTGATAGAGTCTAGCTACATTGGAGGATTTTTTATAATCAATTCAACTTGTGTTCTCATAGATAGTGGGAGTCATTTCCAGTATATTTATATATATATATATATGTATATATTTACCACGACAGATATTAGATACGAGTATAATAGCTTAAGCTACTTTATCAAATTTCTGTTAACACCTTCTACACAAGCCAATAATGATAGTGATAATAGGAGTGGAAACTGTGTGCGCTGGAAATTTTCTTCAAAAATCTGCAGGCCCAGCAAGGTAGAGCCTAGGTACCAGAGCTTTACGAGGTGCGCATGTCCATCTATATCTCCTTTTTTTGTAATATTAGAGGCCAACTTGATCTAATCCACCATCGCCGTATCGTGTGCGAGGTACGCTGCGGAATCTCATTTGATGGCTTCCCATCTATGACCAAGAAGGGTGGATGGTGAACAGAACTCCGACTCTATCATCTGATGTAATCATGGTTAGCTTCATGAAATTAGGTTTGAAGGGATGTGCTGAGATTTATAGACTATATAGACCATGGGAGTAATTGGGAAATTTGTTAAGGTTATAGATCATAAGGGAACATAGTTACTTGTCACTTGTTATATCTGAATGGAGTGTGTGGAGGATGTCTCGGACTGATTTCGATAATGTTAGAAGAGCGAACATATGCTATCTTTTAGATATCACTATGACCCGTGTCATGGTCTTAGTTCTATTTAGTGATTAACTATCCACAGCAATAATACTGCTAATCCGCCGGCAAAGACGAATTCTTCACTTTCCAGTGGTGCCGGTGTAATGGCTCAGTATGCTCTACGTATCTGGGATAGCCAAGAAGAATCGAATCCGAATCGAAGTCGAAGGCAATCACAAGCGCATCTAATATCGACGACTTCTCGTCAATGTCGGACCTATCATTCTCACGCGAGTCCTCCACCTCAATCTTACTACACCACCTCGCCTCAAATATCGATAATGACGTTACTCCAATTGCAATCGGGCATTTGCCTCATCAAAAACCGGCCATCTCCCACTTCACATTTACGATGCTAAGTATACCCGCGAGGAGGAATTGAAGTCATAATCTACAAAGCTCGGGTCTTGATCTATTGGGGACCTTTGCTCTAATGGGGCTTTACATCTTGAAGGACTACAGGTAGCTGGGACGTGGGACGAACGAGTGAAGAGGTAACAAATTTGCATAATGGGACGCACATTTTTCGAGTGTTTTCGACTTAAGATTATCTGTGGGTGCAGAAGCAACGATTTCGGATAGTTCAACCGACATTCTAAAAGCTGGCAACGATGGGAGGTGTTTTGGTCCGCCTCCTGGTCATCATTTCCCCAAATTAAAGTCTGGGTAGCCTGGACACCTATCTCACTCGAGAAAAGGAGGACTGTGAGGCCATATCTCGCGCGATACTTATATACAAGATGGCAAAGGCATGTCAGGGTAGTCAAAGTTTTCTCCTGTTTTCCCTTTGGTGGATATTAACGGTTGAGGGAAGGGTGAAAGTCTCTAGCACCAAGGTCTCGAGTAGTATCAGCGAATGCACCTCCTAAATGAGTAGTCCAAATGTCAACTAAGCTATAGTCGTCGGAGAAACTAGTCTTCTCCGTGTCATGCTCTTTGAGAGCAGTGTTTGTTGCCGTCACGAATAAACTTTCATCATCATCATCATCATCATCATCATCATCAATACTACTAATCCAATGCTCATGAATCCACGGTTCATGAGCGGCATCGCTGCTCCTCCGACCAGTGTATATCATCTTGTTGGAAATTCAGACTCTATGTGTCTTAAGTTTCCCTATGATTGGAACAACTAAGATTCTCACACATGACTCACGGCCCGACTCACGACCTAGATGATTGATATCTCCTTTACTGAGCATTTTTGATGCTTGAGACTCGACTAGTGCATGGTATGGTCTAATACCCGTGTAGGCTTTCATCCACCGACTCTGACCCCATACTCATGTTGTATACTGTCGTGCGATTCATTGTCATTGTTAGATTATGGAACGAGTGATGGATGGTATCTAGTTTGGATTTGGTCTATCAAGTATACATGTATATAAGCTGCCTAGGAATCACCAAGACAGATGATTAATCTAATCAATTCAATTCATTCAGCCCATCTTTTATCCTCCACAGTAGATCACATATTATCTCGATTCATATCATTATTATTCTATTCATAAAATCGCGCCTGTATTCTTTGAGCCGCCTTACTCATCGAACCCATACCGATTTTCCAACACATTTGCTTGCCAGTCGCAGCACTGTCTCCATCATTGCACCTCATCACTTTGATTGACCGCCTCTGAATAGCTGATTCAGGGGCGACCGTACTGGTTTCCTTTAGGGGCGCTCGAGGTACGCCTGTACTCTTGATGCTATTCCATATACGCCCAGCGATATCTGACCTCTCGCGGCTATTTCTTATATTTCAGGGACTTATGGTGCCACCATTCCGATCGCTTTCGTGTATAGTTTCACCTGAGAGCTACCGCGTCCGGAGCTTGATAGCGAACAGTTGTTTTGCATACGGGCAGCGCAAGAAGTATATTTGCACCTTCGGTCGAGTGCCCGTTATTTGCTGATGATATCTCAACAAATTTCTCCGTAAAGTGAGGATGAGAATTCGATTATGAAATACTGTCAAATTCTGTCTTGAGAGGGTTTCGATTTTATAAATTTGATGAGTAATTATTTCCACCTTTTTCAAGTGATACTGAGTGTCAAGCCCTCACTCAATCTTTGATGTTTTCATTTTTACTGCCTTGCACAACTTGAATGTGAAAAGCTTCTTTCTAACTGCCGTCATTTTCCTCCTTCCCAGTCTAAATTCAACTATAGCATGTTTACACATATCTATCCCAACTTCTTTTACTTCTACCTCGAAGACCTGCCTTGCTAGACGTGTGCGCTGCGATCTCAGTCTTCCTATTGTTATCCCGAGCGGAGTGTCTATCTATTTTAAAGTTAGCTGAGATTTGACGTAGAGTGCACTAAAATTGTTCCCAAGGAAATAAAAATGAAAGAGGCCTTATTTCCGAACAAAGTGAGAATTTCATTGGGACTTTGCCATGCTAAGGGTTGAACCTTGAATTGTATAAAGGTCTTGGACTAGCACCTCGTATCAATATCTTCTGGATAGCAAACCTGAAGTCAAATGCAACCATTGAAAAATATTCTATTTCGTGGTGGAAGACAACGTCCACGGTTATTATTTCCCCTTTTCATTCCGCCTGTAAGGCAAATAATTTCGCCTACTATTGATGCATACCTAATTTCGGGGATGTCGATATCGATGAGTGATTTGTTCTTTTTCGGGTTGCTGAAGTATACCCAGACATCTGACTGTAGCACATATGAATGCTTTTCGTAAACTTTTGAATTCAAAGTCACTTATGCTCAGGATTTCATTTCCAGATATATCTACCATATACGTTTATTTGCAGAATAACAATCCTTTAATCCTTTATCATTATACAGCTATGTAGGTTTTATGTTTGTTGCCATAGGACAGCCGACCATCGTTTTCGAGCACCTAGCAAAGGAATGTTTCAAGAACTTTGTTTACTTGAGCGTGCGGTTTTCACAAATGCACATGGTCAACGATGGATATGTAATCGACATTTTCAGGATTCGAGTTGGTTATCTCTTCCCTCAAGTGGGATTTTGTTCAAGCTATCTAGACTCCATTTGTGAGATCAGACCGAATGATGTAGCATTGCACAATTCATCAATAATAAAGTAATGATACTGCCTGCCCTCGAGTGACCTGACGCCACTGAACCTGCAGTGGGTCGCGGTTAAGCAAATGGAGTTACTACGATACGACGGCACTGAGACGGTGACTAGAAGTCGTTGAAACCAACTGCATAGTGTCTACTGTGTACTCGTCGTCAGCACTCCTCGTCCCCCGTGTCTTAAATTATTGGCGATCATCTATCTCTATCATGGCATATGTCGGACGATCGTTTCATCACCACAAAGCATAGAAATCACTAAGCACTCCACCGTTGACTGCACTTTTGGTGGTGCTCGTGGCCGGGAATATCTCATAATTCTTTTTTCTCGAGGTATCACATTTGTGTCAATGTGTAGGACCCGATGACATTCTATCCTCTCCCATTTCCATGCGCCTTGGGCCATTAACATAATCAGACGAGTTACAGCATTGATACAAGGACGAAAATGAATGATGTAAAGTGGACTGACAGCGGGTGTCAATATGTTCGGATGGAGATGGGACTCAATGATTCGGACCCTGGATGAGACAACTACCAAACGATGTTTGCTCTATCGACCCGTTTCTTCTTTCTTCGCATGCATCCCGGATGCGTCGCCAAGACTCATGATGTAAAGACGGAGTTGGTGATGGGACTCTTCAATGTCGTGGAGTTTGGATACACAGCTGGCCTATTGATCTCGCTATAAGAACAGGACCATCTTCGACCTCTTCTGCTCTCCAGACTACATCTCCATCTTCAAGCATCTCTACTAATTTGCTTTAATTGCCACATTGTGCTTTATTCTCTATTTTCTTAATCCATTTTCTAATAATCCATATTCTCATATCCTCGTTCTTGCCGGTCAAGACTAATTCTACACTATCTCAATAAATTAATTACTCGAAACTCTCAATATTTTCAATATTTTCAATATTTTAATCAATCTCAACAATCTCAAAAATCTCAACAATCTCAACAATCTCAACATGCTTTACCAATCTGTCCTCGTCAGCTTCGCTTTCTCTCAGCTCGTTGCTGGTCACGGTGCTATCATCAAGGCTGTTGGTGACATGGGAGGCAGCGGTACAGCCATCGGCAGTGAGTATTCAAATCCAAAATCTCTCGCTCAATCACTCCAACCTTCTCCAATATCACATACTCCATTACTAACACTCATCTAGTTGACTCTGCTACACCCCGTGACGGAGCGACGCGAAACCCCTTCCAGGCCGATGCCACTCGCTTCAAGAACAACAACGTAGACGCTTGTGGTGAGACCCTCGGAGGCGGCCCGAACGATCCCATGACGGGAATGGCCAAGGTGGTGTCCGAGTCCAACGGAATGCCCATGATCTCGGCTGGAGGCATGGTCATGATGACTCTGCACCAAGTCAACGGAGATGGAGCTGGTCCCTACTCGTGCATGATCGACTCTACCGGCATGGGAACAGGTGGATGGACCAAGATGGAGGTTGTCGCCAATGTTCCCGGCAAGAACTCTCGTAGCAAGGCCAAGGCCGAAGACTTTGTAAGCATTGCCCGATCTATCCCCTTCCTTCGTTTCGTGGCCCGTGACACGCAACACGCAACACGTGACACGCGGCACGTGACAAGGGACAAACAACCAGCTTTCTAGAACTGAGCTAACCGAGACACACTAGCCCCTTACGGCCAAGGTCGCAGCAGACCAGACTTGCACAGGAAGTGTTGCTGGTATGGACAATATCTGCATGGTAAGATGCAATAACCAAGCCAACGCCGGACCATTCGGAGGCTGTGTGCCCGTGCAAATGATGAGCCCAGGAGCAGCTGGTGGAGACAAGAACTCTACGACCGAGGCAGCTCCCAAGGCAGCAACTGAAGCAGCACCAAAGGAAGCACCAAAGGAAGCTGGAAAGGAAGAACCAAAAGAGGCTGGAAAAGAAGCACCAAAGACAGCTAGAAGCTTCAAGGCTTAAATGATAAGAGATCAAATGACGCTGCGACTCATAGTATCTGAGATCGATCTGTCATCATCAGATAGTTTAGCTTCCTTTCTATCCTTCTATACCTTCACCCTTTTTATCTAATCAAACCTTTAACTAATTAAAAACACTGAGTTTTGATGCTTGTGAAATATGAAGAGATTCAAAAGGTCGATGATTGATTGTGAAAAGTAAATTATCTAATGGAAGCTATCATTAGAAATTAAATCTCATCTAGACCTAGGGAACTTTCGAACTTCTTCTCGTGCCACGTGTATATGATAGCTCCAAACCGTGGTATTGTATTCTGGACACGCCGGCCATCAAGTCCCGCACCATTTTATCCCGTGTATGATCGAGGTTAGAACATTCTACAGCTTAGTCCTTTAAGTGACAGCGGGATATATCAGCAAATATCTGGCATAGGCGCAACTATGTTCCTTAGACGTCATCGTGGTTAGACAGTGGTTCTGCTGTAGTATCTAAGATTTTTCCTTGAGAACACTACTTATTTTCTTTATTTTCTTTATATGATGATATGCAATCAACTCTCACCTAGCCATGTCCTTCGTTTCTCTAGCAATAGCATGTTATGAAGGTTATGAGACGCATGGAAACATAGTTATTTGTCACTTGTCTAATCTGAAGCTAGTTGTGGGAGATGTGGTTGATCAGGTCGGTTGCGATACTGATCATGAGATAGAATATAGACTACCTATATGCTCCAGACTGGCCCATGTCAGGGCTGGATGGTGCAGTGCTACACCATTCGGGCCGTTCACCCAAGTAGATTCTGGGTAGCTTGAACACCTACGCCATTTGAGACAGGTGAAAGCCGGTCCGAATCCAGTAAACCTACACAACTATTCCTCCACATGATGTTGTATCTGTGGGGCGAAGAGAGCACACTCGGAGAATGAGACGATTTTCACGCGTTTTCCTGTGGTGGGTATGCGCGGAAGAGGTTATACGCCGTAAGGGTTAACCTCGAGTGGTATCTGCCAAGTGTCATAGCTAGTTAGTCTGCATATACTTAATGAATTAAAAAAAAAGAGTGGTATCTGCAAATGAAATGTGAGTGTGAGTGTTCTAAACGTCAAATTGAGTCATCCTACTCAAAGTATATATCTTCCGATAAAATCTGCATGGGCCTCAAGGCGCCTACTTGGGACAATTGAATAATTTATTTATGGTCGTAATGACATGTCAATTGAAGAGACTGATCACCCAGTACAAGTAGCTGGATTACCTGTAGGTTCGTCTACTCATGAACTGGACTGCCGATTTCGCACGGAGCATCACAATGTTCAGATTCGGAAAAGTCTTTATTAAGTGTTGAATGGCCACTGGATTACATTTAGCTTGTGTAGGGATTTCCCCAGTTTCCGAAATTGCCTGTAGAGAACTGCAAGTGTTGGATAGGTTGTGCCTCGCTATCTGATCAGGTAGCAATGTACGTTGGGATAAGATGTTCTTGTTTGAACTACAAAAGTGATAAATCTATGATAAAATTACACGAGGCTGACTATTCAGCCTTGTACCCTTAAATGGTGCGAGGACCTCATCACAATGTTACTTCCAGCGGCAAATCTGACTCACAG